GGAAATCTAAAAGAATGACAGCACTGGCATTATAGCTTGGGATTCAAAGCAAAAGGAAAATCTGTAGTTTTGCTAGTCAAACATATAAGGCTGGTGTTAGCTCAGTCAGTATAAATTAGGTTTCACTACTTGCCCTGGAAGGAAACACTCCTGGAAGGAATAATAATTCTTTCAAGCAACTTTTGCAAGTTGGGCCCAGGAGAAGGAATTAAAAATAGCGAGACGTGACTGATGACAGTAAAGTTTCTAACATAACAGTGGGAGAGGCCAGTCTGACTCATCAGCAAAGAAAAGTGGAAATGAGAGATTAAAAGGCCACGCTCGTTCCCACACAATTCTCAGACATCCTAGTAACTCAATATGAACACCATGAAAGCCAAGTAAAGATCTAGCCAGTTTTTATCTTAACTGAAGAAGCTTAAGCTACCCAAACTGAAGCAGTAAATTAAAACTCCAGAGCTGATATTCTGGACAATATTCCTGCCCTCCAAATAGGAATGACAGGTATGTCTCAGGCCACAAAACTACCAGGCTCTTACCTCTCTGAATAGTAAGTGATGCAGCTGCTGAAAAGCTCATGTGACATTTTTTTTTTCCCCTGTTTTGTTGTGTGATTCAGCTCTGAAGTCCAGATAAGAGCTACTCCACTAAGCATCTTCCTTAGCTGGCTAGAGTAGCATGGGAAGTCTAAATACTGATATCTAGAGGTCACAGAAATAACATTGCACCACGCCTACACAAAGGCATAGAGGGATGGCAACAAAGTGAAGTGTAGTGCTCTTGTCAGCCTAAGGAGAGATTAAAGCCTAGAAAAAGAAGCAAAGAAAAGGATTGTATTGAAATTTAACCCCTTACCCACTCTGACAAATTATTTAGCCCTTCCCACTTCTAAAGATTATTCAGATCAGAAAAATAATTCACCTAAGTGAAAGACCATATACCTGTCTCTGCCAAGCTGCTATGGTTACTGTTCCTGCTTCAGAATATCAGAAAGACTGTCTACTAGAGGCTACCCTAGAGTACCAGTGAAGAGAACATAAATCAAAAGGGAAAACTCACACTAAATTTAAAAAACCCCAAACAAACCAGGCGTACCCAAAGTGATCTAGATTAATGACAGCTAAAGTGAAGTAAACACCACAGCTTCCCTTCCTTTCTGCTACATCAGGCAAGTTGTTCCCATCCTGAACTGGGAAAGGACCATGGTCACAGGTGACCTAGACTTAGAGAAACCAGAATCAGAAAGGGAAACATGATGGGTTCAGGAAGGGAGGTTACTAGGGTAACGACAAATAGTCTTAGTCTTTGCTCTACAAATTGGACCAAATAGAACCAATATACAGTAGTAAAAAATCCCAAGACCCCAATAAACTAAGACAAAAAGTGTAATAAAAATCTCAGAGAGCTCTCTCTTGTCTAAAGAAGGACAGTCAAGTTTAGCAGCAATTGTTTCACACTCTTAAATCATCAATAGGTCTGAGACTGCCAAAAGAGGGTTTACTTCATTTGCTCTGTTCTCCTTAGATGTCCTTGTGGGTACCCTGTGGGGCATCTGGCTGTCCTGGCAGGAAGCTGTAGGCCCAGGTGGCTGGGGCAGATTTAGGATGTTTCTAAAATGGTAGGAAAAAACAGACTAGGAGAGGCTGCATTTTCCCAGCGAAACAGTGGGACATATTTAGTTAGGACATTTTTCTGCTAGCAGTAGGAGACATCAGCATGGAAGGTTAATTTAATTATTTTTTCCTACTAGATCTTTATGGCATCTAGCTGCAGTCTAAAACAGAGAATGACAATGGTACAGCTGTACAAAATATGGCTAGCAATGCACATGTTCAGAAAACCTGGCCTCCAGAAATCTTTCAAGAGTTCTACAAAACCTGACAACTGCTTGCTCCACCACAGTGTCAAAATCGTTCAGGTAACAATTTTGATGCTCTTAAATTGGGCAAACACTGAAAAATGAGGTAAAATTCTTTAATGAAAAATTACCACACAATGAAAGAATTTTCCTAGTCTATGGAAAAGGAGATCAGAAGCTAATTTGTGACCAACTGCTTATCCTACATAACTGAATTAAAATAAGTATTGTAGGTCCATCAGCAACTGGCAGCTGTAACCAGCTGTCAGCAACAGAATTTCCCAGGTAGTGCTATTTACAGGGGAAAAAAAGTCAATACTGTTTAGCAGTTCTTGACATTTCCTGCTTTTAGACACATCCTTTCTCATGGCTTCTCCTGGAAAAAACATGTAAATGTTACTTCAGAACATAAACTTTAACTTAATAGCAGCTTTTAAGTCTTCTGTCAAACACATATCCATGCACAAATGGAATGCACAGGCTTTGAATTCTACTCAGCTAAATTAAAAGCTTCCTTCCTTACAATCACCAATATCCTGTGTGGCTTTCTGGCTGCTCTTAGGCATTTGCAATGATATCTTAATCTCTCAGTAAATTCACTGCTGAGTATGGTTAAAACTGTTGTTCCCCAGAGCCCCATGTGCACCCTTTCATAGTGAATCTCTCTGACACAGAGTATGACAAAGTCTTTCTCATTCTCCGTGTAGCCAGGCAAAACTTTGATCACAGTAGATGATTTTGTAGTATCAGGAAAGTTATTATCTTTACTGCTTCTCTCCATTTCCAGGTCATTTTTAAAGTCAGGTGAGCGCCACAAGACTGTTGTAGAAACTCTCTGCTAACAGAGGAACCTGATCATCTATCCCTGTTTCATTTCTGACACCCTAGTCAGTCTGCCAGGCATCTCAGACTTTTAAAGTTAAAAACATGTTGAAAGCTTCCATGTACTATGCTGAGCTTAGAACAAAGAAAACCCATATATAAGCATGTTATAATTTCAGGTGATTTTTTTTTTTTAAAAAAAAGAAATCATAGCTGAGATAAAGGGAGATAAGACGTGCCTTTCTTCCCATACATTCTTTTCACCTGTCATACTTTTCTAACAGGGTTCTTGAAAGCACAGCTGTGGCAAGACCAAACCTCCCTGGAGACAGCACACAGTGCTAAAGACGAGCGTCTGAACTATAAAATCTTCTGGTCATTGCACAGGCAAGAATGAAGCCTTCCTCTTTCAACACCTTCCACAAGTTATCACCTTCCATGGTTTCAGCTCAAACAAATCTCCTAAAACAATAAAAACCAAAACTCACCATCAACACCAAAAAATACCAAACCAAAACACAACAACAAAACAAAACAAAAAACCCCAAGAAAAACCAAACACACAAAAGTGATCACTTTGCCTGTGATTTATAGAGACTGTTCACAAGCTTCTCACTGATCCTACCTCTCTTCTCACAACCATCTGTTTTGGAAATCACTTGTGATGTACAAAAAAATGAAATAAAGTTAGCTGCTGCAACTTTGTTGCCAAACTAAAAACTATTCATCATATAAAATCCTCAAATAAAGTGTATGATAACTGTATCCAGAGCAAATCCTTGCTGCCCTACCAGTGAGCTTGTACCCTGTCATCTGCCATGTCCCAGACAATGCTCCAATAAAGAGCATAGTGTCACACTCCCAATGCAAGCCACTATGTGACTAACCAGGTGAACAGATCTTTGGTGCAATTTTCTTCACTTTCCAAAATACATTGCAATCCCTGTACTCATGATGATTAAGACTCATGTCACACCAATGTTTTCTAAACCTTAAAAATATAGAAAGAGGAATCTAAAAGTCTTCTAAAATAGATTCCTCTACATTCCCATTTAATTTCAGAGCCATGCTGTCAGTGTTACATTACTAAAGATGGTTTTCCTGGATTAAAAGGTATATTTTCAAGTAGCATTCTTGAAGACAGATTCTTTACTTTTTCTAGCCTTCCTTTCCCACACCCGCAATACTTTTAGAATGATGGACTTGACATTCTAGGAAAGCTAACCCAGGATTTTGAGAGGGAGAAATTAGGGTTGGGGCTTTTCCACATCTCTTGAAAGGTGGTATCTGTCTGAATCAAACTTATTTTTAGCTTCTTGGCAACAATGAGATACCAATTCCTGTTTCTGTGGTGCTTTCAATGCTTTTAGGTTCTTGTTGTAAAGTAATTTCTCCATCTCTAGTGCACAGTCGCCTTATGCCCTTTGTAGAAGTCTGCTTTCACTCATCCACAGTACTTGCATCCAGCTTAGTTTAGAAACACGTTTACTATCTTACCTGTCAGTTTTAAAGTTCATGTTTAAGAAACAGGACTTAAAAAAATTGACACCATTACCTGAAAGAGAAGAGAAACAAAGAGACCTGTGCACCTCTGAGTCATACAAGAGTGATTACTCTAGAACGCTTTCAAAAGATAGTTAAAATTGGATTGTTTCTTTCTAAAGCATGAGCTTCTAAAATGGAAAAACACTATTATTTGTGGAATAACTGGTCTCTAGTCACAAGACATAGTATTGTCAAAAGCCTACCTTTCTGGTAAATGCAATTAATACTGAAATTGTTGTGTTTGCTGCAGTTATAGAAATAGAATGTTAAATTCTCCACAGGAGCAGGCCATCTCCACTGCCACAGGATATGATACAGTTTGAATGGACTCAGAAGCAGCTCTTACAGTGACTTCCAGTCTGGGATATATCTTTATTTCCAATCCAGATGAAAAAATGCTTTCTTAAAAAGAAAGTAGGTCACAAGATACAGCAGTTATTCTTTAAAATATTAGAGAACACACTTTTTCACAGGATACACACAGGGTACAGCTTCAGCTTGTTACTTTCAATATTCACAGTAAAACACTTTTGAAAAATAATCGAAGTGCAGCTTAAAGACCTCAAATGCCAGTTGTTAAATATTTCTGCAGAACCAAAGTAACACATCAAATGTCAACCGAGTTGCTCTTTTTTGTCTTCAGACTTGCTCAACCAGTTGTGCACATCAATGCTGAAGAAGGTTTCTTGGAAAGCCTGAAGCTTCACAGTTTTCATCTGTTCCAGCTATGTCAAAGGATAAATGCAAAGCTCCTGTGCTCTACATCTGCAGGACAAGACATTGATCATCAGGACAGCTTGTACAATGAAGATGCCACAAAGCCCTTTTGGTTTGCAATATCCATGCTGTATGATAAGCCCTGTTCAGATAGATTGTCCTAAACGTTTACAGTCACTTAAATTTGTGGTGAAGGAACAGTAAGGAGACCAGTTGGCTTGATCTTGTTGATTCCTCCATCTAGGATGCAGACCCTTGGGTACTTGTTTTTCACCAGATGAGCTGCAAACTGAAATAGATGTATCATTAGCACACTGCATATCACAGTCCTTATATTGAAATAACTTTGTGTCAAGTAAGACAAGTTAAATGAAAGAAAAAATTATTGGAACCAAGAAGTTCTTTCTTTGCACCAACTAGTCCAACACATGAACCCAGGCCTGTCAGCTGAAACAGCTGGAATGAATTTGGTGATCATGGAAGTGTCACAATGATAATTCTAAACTTAATCTATCTCTGCTTAGGCAGGATTTTACCTCATTCTAAATGCATTTGCTTACCTGTTGAACTTGGCCAACATGACTTGATTTCACAGGGATCAGATAAAAATTTGAGGTATAGCAGCTGTACTCTCCCCTGCACCCCAAATCTGACCATATACAGGTTACACAGTGCAAGCACAGACACATACAGCCCTTGAAAGCCTCTCTCCCCAGATAATTCATTCCATAAAACACACACAGCAGTTTTAAGTTTCTGTGAAGCAATTTAATGAGAAGTTGCTATACTGATGAAGGAACAATATTTTCTGTATCAAAATAATGATAATTAGTAAAAAAAAAACCAAAACAAAATAACAAAAGTTGCGTATCAAAGTATCTAACCCAAAACCAAAGGAACAACATTTTGTATTTTGTGTATTGTGTTAAACTTGCCTTTTAAATACTGACTGCAAGACATGACAAAACAAGCCACCAAAATGGATTAATTTGAAAGGAACTACTATAGTTTTACAATATTTCCAATAACTGTGAGAAAGACTGCCATGCCACCCCAGTTTTTCAGATTATTGTTTTATACTTGATTCATAAACTAGTACCATCTGTAAAATCACAAAGTGTTTCTAAATAGGCTAGGTAAAACACTCATAATGACCTTTTTGACACTTTAAAATTATTTGTGATACTATTCCAGAACCCAGTGCAAGCACAACGTCCAGATAACGAACTTTGCACAAAACCCCATATTACTAACTCAATAACAGCAGTAGGCACCCCATCCAGATTTAGTACATGGGATTCCTTTTTATGTTTACATTTCTTTTAATTACCTTTGATAGTGTAACAGATGCTAAGGCAGAACAAGATGTACTATGTGATTACCCTATCAAGTACAAGTCCCAAAATAATCTCTCTAATGGGTAAGAGTTCACAGTAGCAAAGTTTTAAATTCCTTCCATAGCCAGAACTTTTGCTTCACACTGAAGGTTATTTTATATGTGCAAGGAATTAATTTCTGTTCATTTATGTGTCAAACACAGCTACTGCATTCCTTTCTCTGTTTTTCAGGATGGATTTAACCAGGGAGTGAGCAATTAGTACATGATATGTAACCACTGAGGACTTGTTAAGACAGAAAAAGAGGTCACAGTGGAACAGTCAGGACATTTTGGCTGTCATGTTTGTTTCAGGTACTTGCCTAGGGAAGACCAAAAGTAAGTTCAATCATCTCTTCCCCCATTAGTTTGGGTCAGACAGTACAGGATTCCAAAGTAGGAAATGAAAATACCCCACAATCAATCAAAATACCTAATAGTGAAGTTACTGACTATGCCATTTTTCATCACAAAAGTAAAAGCCAAGCTTTTATATAGCAGAGGTCACATAATGTGCACAGAGATATCACTAGGAGAGTCTAGCTACCCCTTGCTATAATCATAGTCCATAAAGATGTGGTGTATAGTAAAAAAGAGACTCATTTGGCTCATTGCCAAAAACAGCACTCAGCTGTGCATACCATGAGCTACAAAAATAGTATATACTCCTAGTGAAATACTCCTACCAGACATCTCTACTTCATATGTTGATATCTGTCACCTCACAGTGCTCTCCACCTCTGAGTGATGAATGGGGCTCTGCCTTGGACACCAGTGCTGCTCATAGCTGGCAGACGTGAAAACTGGCAGGAAGCATTTCATGTGACAGGAAGCAGCATGTTATTTGCTGAGTACAATGTCCCATGTGTCAGAAGAAAGGTTCCACTCTCTGTCTACTGATAATTTTACACTTCTGATAACAACCTGTAAACTGTGCTCCAAGTTTTCGGATTCCCTAGCCATAACATAACCACCATTCCATATCATCTGAAAAGAATATATGCAAACAAATGCTTTATTATTTAGGGTTTGAGCATTAAGGCCTGTATCCCATGGTATTTTAGAACTGCTTTAGCAACCAAGGTATGGCTGGAAATCATTTTTCTTCACTGCATATGACAAGAGGTTCCTTTCTAACCTTATTGTGAGGAATCTCCTCCTTCTTACAGGCCCCCTGGGAAGCAAACACTGCTGAATCTGTGTCTGTCAGCAAATGAAAGGCAGAAAGCACAAGAACACAAGATGATATACCACAAGATGAACTGCTTTTACCTGTCCTCCTCCCCCCACACTTTTTTTTTTTTTTTTTTAAGGTTTTCACAGAACTGTCTGCAGTTGTCCACATAGCTTCAGTGAGAAAGGCTGCAAATATATCTCTAAATATTGCATCTGAACATCCAGCCAGGGAAAATGCAGTGAGTAGGAAACGTACTCCTAACGGTGCCTCACCACTGTGGGAATTAGCTGCAAGTCAGGGGCCCCAGAGACACACCCACTGCCATAAGCTGAGAGCTACCATCAAACCCCAAGTATCAGCCTCCAAGAGTTTTGCACATACACCCGTCTCCACACTCCAAAGAAGAAAAGAATCAAAGTTTAACTCATAGGGTTGTAAGGTTTGATCTGATTAAAGACATTTCTAGTTTTACCTTTTGGCTTCCCACATTGTGTCACTGAAACCAGAAACAGTAACTTCAGGTAAAGAGTAATTTAGAAATAGTCATCTCACTAGGTTTTACAATCTTCCTAATTAAAGCTTTGACTCTTTATAGTTTTGTTCCTTCATACATGTTTGTGCCTTCCTCTCCCAGACAGAGGAGTCCGTCTGTCAACAGACATGTTACTGAAATGTTCCAACACCATCTGCTGTCTTTTCCTGCCAAAAATATACTATATGAAGCTAGAGCACATGAAAGTGTTATTTCTGGCATGTGCACTGATGGAGGGGTATGAGAGGAAGGGCTATTTGAAACAGCTACACAGACTTCTTCCCCAATGTGACCTTAATTTACGTTCAAAGATCAGTAGCTTAAATTCAAGAAATTAAGAAAGATTAAAAAAAAGTTTCCTAAAAAGTGAAAAAATCAGTGGTTCAAAAAGGGCAAAATTTCATGTGTCACAAAAAGCCTGAGGTGCTGCTCTGAATTAACATGATACTTTCCACAGCAGAAACTGTCACCCTGGACTTCATACATAGGCTCTATTGCCTTTGTAAACGTGTCATAAAGTGTCAACTAAGAGTCTAATAATAGGTAGCTGAATTCATATTTTGTAGTCCACTAAACTTAATGGACAGAGGTGCTCTTAAGATAGAAGATAACATAGTGAGGAGATAAATCAATGAGTTCCATCTACATTTGAGAGAGATTTATTCAAACACATAAAGGTAGTGCACAATTAAATTTCCATTATACAGGTTGATCTGAAATAGAAATGAACCTCTGTCATTTATAGGGAGATTATGCTTTTCTGTTGGCATTACTTCGGAGATATCTGTTTCCCCATACCACCAATGGACCACAGTCCTCTGTAATCCTTCCTTTCATTCAGACGAAAGCTCTGCTTGGAGGAAATGGAGTCATGCTTCTCTGAGGTAGCGGATATTTCACCCTGTTTTGGTGTTGCTCTCAATACAAACAGTGTAACAGGTCTGTTCCTTTAAGTATCATCAAGAACCTTAATAATCCACACATGGGAGCATCTAATCAAAATGTTTCTACTACCCTGTTCCAAGCAGTAAAATCACAGCTTTCAAGTGTGTTGAATGTATTACACCAGGTACATCACCTTTGCAGACTGTCCACCGCAGAGTCCAATAACACGACCCCACCTGAGCAGCACCATTCCCAGCACCCATGGGGGTACCCAGCAGGGTTGCTAAGTACACGGTATTCACTGTCACAGGCATCCTCTGTGACAGATTGTAATTCAAGGGCAAGTTGGGAGTGATGGAGGAGTAACATACTGTACCAGAACACCGAAAAAGACAGCTGTGACAAATGTTACCAGGGTATAAATGTTAATATAATATACTGAAAAGAGTCAGAAGCAAAAGAGATACTTTAGAAGCTGCAGAGAAACATTAACCAAATATCGTAGCACTCATTCATTGCCATAATATTATAATCAGTTATTCATTTGTAAACATGCTACAGAAACTTCTCAGGGACTGCAGTCTTCTCTGCTGTATGGTTTCTTTACTGAAATGAAGGCACTGGAACAGGCTGCTCAGGGAAGTGGTTGAGTCACTATCCCTGGAGGTATTTAAAAGATGTGTAGATGTGGTGCTTAGGGACATGGTTAGTGGTGGACTTGGCAGTGTTGAGTTAAAGGCTGGACTTGATCTTCAAGGTCTTAAATGATTCTATGATTCTATGATTTCTGCCAAGAGTTCACTGCTCTGAAAGCATGCCATACCCAAAGTTCATCAGTCTAGAGCTTTTGAACACCACTTTCCATATGCCACAAAGCAGACCCAGCACACAAGATTATTTTTAGTCCACTATTTGTTATATTAAAGGTTTCCAGAAAAATGAAATGGCACTTTTTAACACTAATGGAAAGACAGGCACCTCAAATCTCCCGTAACAACAAAATAGTCCCCCTGTTTAATGGTTACAGTATTAGCACAAACTAAATGGAAGTACAAAACACAAGAAGCAAAACTGGGCAAACAATACGATGTTAAAAAAAGAGAACACAAAAAAGAGAGAAAAGAGAGAAAGGAAAAGAGGGTAAAGAGAGAAAGAAAAAAAGAAGCACTTTCTACTCTAACAAGATCAATGAAAAAATTCTTCACACACAGGCCTGGCCAAAAAGGAACACTTTCCATTCCATCAGTATAAAAATACAGCAGGTAACTTAAAGGACTTAAGAGATTTGAAAATAAGCCTATACAAACAGGTATTTGATAT